TTCCATTGATCAATGTCTCTTTCATTGTACCAGTACCAGGCTGTTTTTACCACCGTAGCTGTGTAGTAAAGTTTGAAATCGGGGAGTGAGAGACCTCCAACCTTGTTCTTCCTTTTCAGAAGTACTTTGCTTATCCTGGGTCTCTTTCCTTTCCATATAAAATTAGTAATTGTTCTTTCCATCTATTTGAAGAATGTTTTTGGAATCTGGATTGGGATGGCATTGTATGTGTAAATTGCTCTGGGTAGTATTGACATTTTCACAATGTTGAGTCTTCCTATCCAGGAACATGATATGTTCTTCCACTTCTGTAGATCTCTTTTGGTTTCCTGTAGTAGTGTTTTGTTATTTTCTTTGTATAAGTCCTTTGTTTCTCTGGTTATGTTTATTCCTAGGTATTTCATCTTTTGTGTGGCTATTGTAAATGGAATTGTTTTCCTAATGTCTTTTTCATCGTTATTGCTGTTGCTGTAGAGAAATCCAATTGATTTTTGTATGTTGATCTTATATCCTGCCACTTTGCTGAATCTTTCGATGTCTAATAGTTTTTTTACTGAGTCTTTGGGGTTTTTTATATATAGGATCATATTGTATGAAAATAAGGAGAGTTTTACTTCCTCTTTGCCAATTTGGATGCCTTTGATTTCTTTATCATGCCGTATAGCTCTGGCTAAAACTTCCAGCACAATATTGACTAGGAGCGGTGATAAAGGGCATCCTTGTCTGGTTCCTGCTCGCAGAGAGAAGGTTTTCGGTTTCTCTCCATTGAGCTTGATGTAGGCTGTTTGTTTTGTATACATGCTCTTGATTATATTGAGGAATTTCCCTTCATTTCCTACTTTGTTGAGAGTTTTTATAAGGAATGGATGTTGGATTTTGTCAAATGCCTTTTCTGTGTCAATCGATATGATCATGTGGTTGTTTTCCTTTTTCTTATTTATATGATGAATTATGTTAATTGTTTTCCTGATATTGAACCATCCTTGCATCCCTTTTATGAAACCCACTTGGTCATGGTGTATTATTTTTCTGGTGTGCTTTTGGATTCTGTTGGCTAGGATTTTGTTGAGGATTTTTGTGTCTATGTTTATGAGGGATATTGGTCTATAATTTTCCTCCATAGTGACGTCCTTCCCTGGTTTTGGTATGAGGGTTATGTTTGCTTCGTAAAAAGTATTAGGGAGTTTTCCGCCCTCTTCTATGTTCTGGAATAATTTGAGTAGAATTGGTGACAATTCTCTGAATATTTGGTAGAACTCACCGGTGAAGCTGTCTGGGCCTGGGCTTTTGTTGGTTGGGAGTTTCTTGATGATCTGGTCAATTTATTCTTATGGGTTTGTTCAGATTTTCTACTTCAGTCTGAGTAAGTTTAGATAGGTCGTGTTTTTCTAGAAATGTATCCATTTCATCCAAATTTTCGAATTGGTTGAAATACAGCTCTTTGTAGTATTCTGTTATTAACTTTTTGATTCGTTTCGTTCTGTTGTGAGTTCACCTGTGTGGTTTCTAATGCGATTAATTTGCATTCTGTGAGAGTCTTTGTGTGGCATTGTAGGGTAGGCATTGGACCACTAACTTTTAGGGTCACAGTTCAAACTCAACATCTGCTCCTTGATAACTATATAACATTATTATGAGTCAGAACCAACTCAGAGGCACTTACCAACATTAACAACATGAGAGGTCTTCAGTAAGTTCATGGAAAAATATAGAATTAAAACATTATGGAATTTTTCTGAGAACTTTTTGAAGTCTCTTTGTATATGTGAACAGTGTGGCAGTGATGACTGTAATTTGAATGTACGGAACATGGAGCAAAGTATGAAGTTGTATGTGATTTTTAAGCTTATTAAGTCAAACATGAAATATACAGTCAGCATATATACGTTTTTGCTACACATCTACTTTGTATTTAAGTTACTACACACTGCTTTGTATTTTCCAGTTTGTATAATAGACTTTCTAATTGGACTATGGATTTTAAAGTTTTGAACTATTTCTATTTTTTTTAATTCATTTATTTTAACTTTATCTATTTAGTAACTTGCCTCATTCATTCATGTTAATATTGAAAATTAATTAATTTTCATTAATTGAAATCATTAATACCAACAGGCAACTCACCAAATATCTTCTCTGAAAAATTCTACTTAATTGTAATAGAGTGTACTCAAGACAACCGGTCATTGTTACACATGTGGAATTTACATTTAAAGTCCGTTCCTGTCTCATTGGGTGAGTCTTTTTTTATAACTCTTAAGTAGACATAAAGTAACAGGTTATATACATGTTTAGACAGTTCAGCCCTTAAAGCCATCCTTGTTGAGTGGTGATAATTGTCATTTGTTATTTCTCTTAATTGAAAATGCAAACTGACTCTGATTTTCTTTTTATAAAGAATATTAATATATTTACTTTTTAATTTTTTTATAAGGCAGTTGCAAATTGTAAAGTTTTATTTTTCTGCACTTGTGGTATTTATAAGTGTATTTTTTCCAGTTATTGATTCTTTTTTATTTTCTATAGATGAACAAATAGATAAAAAAAAATCGGAAGCAATTTGCCAGTCAAAAGAGCATTCTTCATCTCCAGAGAAGATCCTATCTCCTTTTTCACAGAAATATCAGGCTTGCAGAGCAAATCTCCAAAGTACCAGCAAACTGACCCTTTTTTCAGAAATGGTTTATAGCCAAGAGTTGAATTTACCAGAAGGAGTTGAGATAATAAGTGTTAAGCCTTCAGCAGGTTTGTAAATTTTGTGGAACAAGACTAATCAAACTTTGGAATACATGAATGTTTACCAATGTATTTTATAAATGTGTGCAATTACCTGGATTGTAAACCACAAGGTAGGCAATTTGAGCCCACCGGCTTCTCCTTGACAGAAAAATGAGTCTTTGTGCTCCAGAAAAAATTTACAGCCTTTGAAACCCTATACAAGGTCACTGTGAGTCAGACAACAACAGTCTCTTTGTAAATCCACACAGAAACACAAGTGTAAAGAATATATTTAAGTACCCTATATAAATATATTTTTTCACTATATTTTCAGATTACGCTGACATACATCAGCCAATTTTAGTCTTTAACACTGATTTCTAAAACACACTTTTATTATCTTTTCAGAAGACAAACAGAATTCCTAGGGCAGGATATAACAACTAGGTTGCCTTATTGTCAACTCTAATTATATTGGTAGTGGTTGTTTGGAGCCATGTACTGCGAAAAATTCTAAGTATGTGATTCTTGCTATATATTTGTCATCTTCTAGGAAAATGGTTTTCAAAATATGTTCCCTGGGTCAATAGCATTAACATCATCTGGGAGCTTTAATTTTTATTAAAATTCTATGTGGCACTGTGAGTTAATGCGTTGGACTGCAAAGTAGGCTTGAACCGCATAGTCTGCGGTTCAAGCTTGTTAGCTGCTCCTCTGAAACCCTATATAGGGTCACTGTGGGTCGGAACCTACCCGATGGTTCTTAACAACAATGGCCACAACCCAGACTTACTGAATGACAAACTCTGAGGTCAGGTCAGCAATCTGTTTAACACACCTTCAGCTGATTGTTACAACTTAAAAGATAAAAAAGCACTGTTCTAAGCTATCTAGAATATAAAGGCACAATCCATCTATTTATTTTCCAATTCTTTTCTAGTCAAGTATGGGTCTTTGTTCTCTTCTTGTCATTTTTTTTTTTTTACCTGATTACATTGAGTACTTTTCACTTTTCCAATTTTTTATTACTTCAGACACTATAATGAATGATTATAATAATGGTGGTGGCAGTGGTACTTGTGTGCCATGGAGTCAGTTCCAAATCATAGTGACCCTGTGTAGAGTTTTCTGAGGCTGTAAATCTTTATGAGAGCAGAAAGCCTCATCTTTCTCCCATGGATAATGCTAATGGTATCATTTTGCAATATTACTATTATATTCCTTTGGATTTTTTAAAAACTTGGTTTCTGTTAATGCTGAAATGTACTTTTAAAAGATAATGTTTCATGTAACATTTCTATATTATAATTAGAGTCCTATATTATAATTATAATTATTACTTTTTACTGTTGTGGATTACTGCTTTTGGGCTATAATGACATAGCTGAGTAAGTTTGGCAGAGACTATGACCAGCAAAGCCTAAAATAGTTAACTATTATCTGGCCCTTTAAGAAAAAGTTGGCTAGGTTCGTATTTAAGAATCATAGTTAATAGTATATGTTACAATGTTACAACACCTTCCAGTTCTTCCCTCTCCCCTCCCTTCAACTCCATTTTGTCTATTTCCCTGCCCTAACCAGCAATGACCACTCTCTTCCTGTTGAACCTATATAAATCCCCTTCCTTCCTGTTGACTCTCTCTTCCTTCTTTCTCTCTTCCCTTCTGCCTCCTGCCTTCTCTCTCCAGCAGAGGTTATCTTACTCACCCTGAATAAAAGTCTCTAGACGGGCCATTTGGAGTGAGGTGTGGTTGATAAGCGGCACTGGGGTTGTTTTTCCCCTTTCAGTATATGATTACATTAAGTCTAAGCAAATATTAAGCCCCACTTAGGAAACTTGTCAGAATCTGTGATCAAATTTATTTCAGTCATGAAGGGCTCTGGAAAATGATCGTTTAACACTTGGGTAAGCATGGGCTATTCTCAATTGTGTTGGCAAATATGAAAGTGAGGGAACCCGTAAATGTTGACAGATTTTTAAAAAATAGATTGATACCTTTAAAATGAGACTAATAATACTATATAAGACTAACAGAATTTTGAAAAGAATGCTGGACTGAGAATCAATATTAGAACTCAGGTTTTCATGATACTGTTCTTATATGTCCTTTTGTTCTTATTAAAGCCTTTTACTGATCTTGCATTGACCCTTAAAGTACATATATACTGTCATGTTTTTAACATTAGTTTATACAAAAGGCCTAAAATCATTAGTGTATGAAAACAAAGTTTTTAACCCTACTTGATATTTTGTTAATGGATTATTTTCATTTTAGGACATCTGAGTTCTTCTTCCATATATCCCGTCTGCAGTGCTCCTTATTTGTTGGCAACTTCATGCTCAGATGAGAAAGTAAGATTCTGGAGATGCAGAGTAACAGGTGTAGAAACAGCTACATCAAAGAATGGGCAAATGGATCTTGTATACATTTGGGAAGAATGGCCATTACTTATTGAAGATGGACTTCAGAGCAATAGTAGTATATCTATACCTGGCAGGCCTATAGAAGTTAGCTGTGCACACACAAATCGTTTAGCAGTAGCTTATAAGCAACCTACATATACTAGTAGAACTTCTCAGGACTTTATGATGCATGTAAGTATTTTTGAATGTGAATCCACAGGAGGTTCATGTTGGATTCTTGAACAGACAATTCATTTAGATGAGTTAAGCACAGTGTTGGATTCTGGTATTAGTGTTGATAGCAATTTAGTGACCTATAATAAACAAGAGATGTATTTGTCCAATAAAGACAGTATCACATCAAACACAAAGCACTTAGTTCATTTAGACTGGATGTCTAGAGAAGATGGTTCTCATATTCTGACTGTGGGAATTGGATCAAAACTTTTTATGTATGGACCACTGGCTGGCAAAGTACAAGAGCAGACTGGCAAGGAAAACTTGGCATTTCCACTCTGGGAGTATGCTAAAGTTGTGCCTCTTCCCAAGTTTGTACTGTTACGAAGTGTGGACTTGATTTCTTCTGTAGAAGGCTCCCCACCTTTTCCTGTATCTTTATCATGGGTTCGTGACGGCATCCTTGTGGTAGGAATGGACTGTGAAATGCATGTATATTCCCAGTGGCAGCCATCTTCTAAACAAGAACCTGTTATAACAGATTCAGACAATGGGAGCACTCCATCTTTAGTAAGTTTAATAAAACCTAGTAATTCATCAAGTTTTGGGTTACCTCATCCAAAGAAAACTCTGACTCGTTCCATGACCAGTCTTGCACAGAAAATCTGTGGAAAGAAAACTGCACTAGATGCTTCGGTAGACTTAGAAGATTCAGGTCTGTTTGAAGCAGCTCATGCACTTTCCCCAACTTTACCTCAGTACCATCCTTTGCAGCTTTTGGAACTCATGGATCTTGGCAAAGTTCGGAGAGCAAAGGCCATCTTGTCCCATCTTGTCAAGTGCATTGCTGGGGAAGTTGTGGCTCTGAATGAAGCTGAGTCCAACCATGAGCGCCGCCTTAGATCTCTCACTATCAGTGCTAGTGGAAGCACTACGAGAGACCCCCAAGCATTCAACAGAAGTGAAAATACAGATTACACAGAAATAGATTCTGTCCCTCCACTTCCTTTATATGCTTTACTTGCAGCAGATGATGATAGCTGTTACTCAGCCTTGGAGAAATCTAGTAATCAGAATCCATTAAATAAATCAAACCAACTGCCAAATGAAAGTTACGATGAGCTCTTTCAGATCTCTGCTCTGACATCTGATAGTCATGTGTTAGAGACAGAGGAAGAAAATACAAAAGCCCAGGTTATTGACCTTTCACAGTACAGTCCAACATACTTTGGTCCTGAGCATGCTCAGGTTCTTTCTGGCCACTTACTTCATTCTAGTTTGCCAGGACTCAGCCGGATGGAGCAGATGTCATTAATGGCCTTAGCAGACACAATTGCAACCACAAGCACTGATATTGGAGAAAGCAGAGACAAAAGCCAAGGTAAAACTAAATTCTGTACAGGATTGAAGGAAAAACGGATGATAATAGCTTAGTTTAAATAACTTTTTATAAAAGTGATGTCCACAAAGATGTTTTAATCACCATTGCTTCCTTCACAGTAGTTTTAACATGAATATGTGCTTAGATTTTTATTAAATAATTATTTTAGGTACCTGAAAATAAAATGTGGCTTCTGTTGTTTTTTTCATTTAATATCACAATATTCACTGTTACGAGTTTAATTTTTGTTTAATATTAAAAGTGATTTTTTTTCAAGATGCTAGAATTAAACTTACATTTCTACCTAGAACAACAAATACAAGCCTGATAAAATTAGGATGTAGAATCCTGAATAAATTACAAATAAGATCTGAAATTATAAAGTCCAGCCCTGTACACCAAATACAAGTCAGTAATGTGCACCCTTTGAACTAAATTGAAAGGAAAATATGGAGTAAACTTAAGAAAAAAATAGGTTGGTTTTGTATCTTGACACTTAAAAGAGGTATTACTAAATAGATACTAATTTTTATATGAGTATTTAGAGGTGTTTTGTGAGTCTAATTGTTTGCAATAAAAACAAGTCCTCCTACCCTATAACTTCCAATATTAGCATCAGATTATTAGATTGGATATATGATCTGAATCAGTCTAGAAAATATTATTGTACTATATACCACAGAGAAAGTTAAACTAATTTTAAATTGTGTCATATTACTTAAGTAAATTCTAATCACAGAAGTTCAGATTATAAAATATTTCGTAAATTCTGAATTGGTTCATTCTAGACTTGATAATTTTTCTTTGATATACGATTGGGTAGAAAAAGAAAGAAAATATTTAAACTGATAACTTGTCAATAGCTGATTGCCAACATTATTAGAGTCTATATGTGTTTTGTTTAATGAAATGTTTTATTTGTGCATGTGTGTTTTAACAAATTAAAACTTATCTTTTCTTGTTATAGGTGGAGAAACTCTTGATGAATGTGGGTTAAAATTTCTGTTGGCTGTTCGACTCCATACTTTCCTTACAACATCCCTTCCAGCCTATCGAGCTCAGCTACTTCACCAAGGTAATTAGGGCAGTAATCTACTAAAGGAAGTAAGGATAGTAGATAAGAGAGACTTGTGAATTAAAAAAAAAAAAAAAAAAATTACTGTGAATTGAGTGAAAATTTACAGAGCGGATTATCAGTTTTACATTCAACAAGTCATTTACTTTGTTTCATCTCAATTGCAATCCCCTCAAAATAACATCACTTATCCCACTTCCTATTTCTTGTTTCCATTCCTCCTTCTTTCACAATGCTTTTGAATTTTGTCCTTAGGTAAATGCTGCCCATTTGATCTTGAATGATAGACTATTCTATGGTGTGCATTCCTCACTAATGCTGTCTCCCCTATATACCTATCTATTGCTTGGCTGAAAATGGAGCCATGAGGGTGAGTTCAGTTCTAAACCTGAAGGGTGACCAAGAACCATATCATGGTCCCACCATTCTCTGTCTGACCAGTAAACCTGGTCTTTTTATTTTAATTTTGTGGTGTATTACACATTTTCTACCATTCTATCCAAGGTGTTTTAATGTGATCCCTTTCAGAGTAGTTAGTAGTGGTAACTGAATGCCATCTAGTTCTTCTGTTCTCAGGATTACGGAGAGTGCTGTTCACATGTTCCATTAGTCCACTGGATTAATGTATTCCAAGTAACTTTAATTTTTATCACTCATCTTTCCTCTGGACATAGACAAATAGGTGCACCTTAGATGACAACTCATGGCTTATGAACTTTTTGGCTTGTTTATGGCCAGACATGATAATGCTGACAAATTCCATATATGCTAAATTAAGATCCTCAAAGAATGATATTTCCATTAAGTGTCCCCTATTGTTCTCTGACTCTGGCACTTTTTTTTGTTTTGTTTTTTTACTTTCACTATCCTTTTGTTTTTCTCTCTGCCCCTTCCTTCCTCTATTTTTGCATATATAGCTTTGTAAAAGTAAAGCTTTTCATTATTTATAAAATTCATTGAACTTGGTTAATAAAAATTGAAAACTAATATGGAATCATAGTCCATTCACATTATAGGTTTTGTATTTGTTTTTCCTGTTTCTTTATTTCCAAAGATTTGGATATAGTGGGCATTTCGAATTTATTGGCACAGTTTAAAAATTTGAGGTCATATTTAAGTCAAAATATGTCAAAGCTACATCTATAATTTATTATTCATTTTATTCAAGCTTAAGTGTAATACTAAATAAAATATATTGTGAAGAGATAGGATAGAATCTGATCAATACACAGCATCTGTCCTGAACCTAGCTACCCTATAGAGGGTTTTCAAGGAGTGGCTGGTGGGATTGTATCACTGAACTGTCAGTTAGCAGTCCAGTGCTTATCTTCAGCACTGCACTGAAACTCCAGAGTAAAACCTAGTACATAGTAATTACCTATCACCAGATTAATAAGATATGTTTATATTTATATAGCATCATTTAAATCAATCATTATCTCAATCTATTGGTTGATGTTGTTATGTGCTCTTGAGTCGATTCCTATGCATAGTGACCCTGTAAAGGGTTTCCAAGGTGTGACTGGTGAGTTTGAATCACTGATCCTATGGTTCAAATCAACCTGTGGTCGAGGGCTTATCCTACAGCACCACACCAGGATTCCTGGGTAATAAATAGAGAAACACAGTACTACAGCACAGTGGCATTTGCCATCAACATTTTTTTTTTTTTGCCTTGTCTAAAGAGAAAAGATCTTTTAATTGTAGAAAATATATGCTGACTTAAGAAAATGGTAAAGTGACAGAATTGTTTGGAGACAAAAAGAAAAAATCCATACACACTAGTTATAGATGCTTAGTTATAACTCTGTCTTATGTAAACTTTTTTTAAAAGTTCAGATATTTTACTTCAAATAGGGAATGAACATTTCTGATGGTCATTATATAATCATGTTTATAGTCTTATAAACTTTTTTTGCATTTCTTCAGGTCTGTCTACTAGTCATTTTACTTGGGCATTTCATTCAGTAGCAGAAGAAGAACTGTTAAACATGTTGCCAGCAATGCAAAAAGATGATCCCACTTGGTCTGAACTAAGAGCTATGGGTGTAGGATGGTGGGTCAGGAATACCCGCAACCTACGCAGATGTATAGAAAGGGTAAGTGCTTTTATTTTGTTGTAATAATTATTATTAGTTTTTAGTTTGTTTGTTTTCACAAATTTCTTTAAATTTTTTAATTCACATTCTATTTTTTAGATTTTTGGTTAACACATGTTTATTTAGTATTATTTCTCTGATATTTATGAAACAATTTATGTGCCTATTTAGAAAAGTAAAATAAAATAAATGAAGTGATAATTTAAAACTCTTCAGTTCTGTGTTGTAGTACTGTTTCCTACCTCAAACACCTTCTGAGGTTCCAACTATAAATTACTCTTATAATTATATATGTGTGTGTGTGCTTGTGTGTATGTGTGTATTTATATATATCTGTATATAAATAGAGTGAGTCCTGGTGTGGCACTGTGGATTAATGTGCTGGACTGCAAAGACATTATGAATCTCAAAATTGGCAGTTCAAACTCACTAGCTGCTCCTCTGAAACCCTATACACAGTCGCTATGATTCAGAACCAATTTGCCGGCACTTAACAACAATAACAACACATATATACAATATATAGATATATAATATGTATACACATTCATATTTGTATAATTTTAAAAATATTTGAACATGTGAATAATATGTGCAAGCCTTATATAAAAGGAAATAAAATTTTTCACTTAAAAATATTTTTGTGAAAGTTTGACCGATGTTTTCTAATTATAGGTAGCCAAAGCCGCGTTTTATAGAAAGAATGATCCTTTAGATGCTGCCATTTTTTACCTCGCAATGAAAAAGAAAGCTGTGATTTGGGGGTTATATAGGTAGGTGAAGAAACTGATTCCAAATTAAAAACTTTCCATAAAATGTATAAATGGATTAAGTACAGATTTGTTCGTGTTGGTATCCACTCATGTAGAGTCTTGGTTATATTTACATTTAATGACAGATTTCATAGGGAAGAAACTCAGGTGTTTTCCAAAGTAGAATTTTGATGAAGTAATTTTTGGTTGTTTTCAGGTTTATCAGAGCAGATAATGTTTTTCCTTATTATAAGAACATCTCATGATGTTTCTAAAAAGCCAAAGTAATTCAATCAAAAACTTGAGTGTAGCCTGGGGAAGATCAATTGGTAGAGTTTTCCCTCTGCCCTGTTGTGAGTAATGGGCCAGAGTCCCATTGCAAACTGCTTCCCTCATGAGAGCCTTGAATCAGTTTGGACTGAGGTCACTTAGAATTTTTTCCTGTCTCATTTCTTCTTAGTTGTTGTTAGGTGCCATCGAGTTGGTACCAACCCTATGCACAACAGAACGAAACACTGCCCGATCCTGGGCCAACCCCACTTGATAAACTTGATTACCATAAATGGCTCATTATTTTCCTTATGTTCAGTTCCAGGTGAATCTTTTTGAACACCAGTATTTGGGGAACAGTCATGATAATAAAGCTATTTTCTATGAGACTAAGTATCTCAGCTTGTTTAGAAATCAAGGCTATTTTTCTTAGGTTTATATCACCAAAGTCATCCTATAACTATGTTGTTGTTGTTAAGTGCCGTCGAGTCGGTTCCGACCCATAGCGACCCTGTACAGGGTTTCCGAGGGTGTAAATCCTTACGGGAGTAGAAAGCCTTATCTTTCTCCCGCGGAGCGCCTGGTAGTTTCGAACCGCTGACCTTTAGGTTCGCAGCCCGATTCGTAACCACTACGCTACCAGTATAGGCAAATAAAAAAGGTGATTGATGAGGTTTAAATGGAGAACTAGCACAGAAGTTAATATCAATTATATATTTTGCCTGGATATAAAAATAATTCAACACTGCTGCTAGTGCAGTTTTCTTTCAAGTTAGAATTTTCTTTTTATAATTTATATGAAAAAAATTTTTTCCTAATTTTTTTTTTTTCTTCTTCTGCTGGGAAAAGATGGAGATGTATAATAATATATTAGCTGGCAAATACAACAGAGCTTCAGAAAATTCTTAGAAAAATTTCATTATTTTTCATTCCATTTTCCGTGAACTTTTTGAAGCCCTCTCTTATGCCTATTGATTTTTTTTTTTTTTTTCAATGTTTTATTGTGAATTATATGGTAGTTTACATGGGGGAACTTTAATTTTACATTCATTCCATCATATATCATATCATTGCCATGGTTCCAATCTCCTCCATGCATCATCAACCACCCAAAGGATATATCCCAGAAACCCGCCCCCTACACTTCTCCCTCCTCCCCCCAGTTTTCGGCCCACAGTCCCTTTCCCTCTCTGGGTCCAAAGACCCCAGTCGCTTCATCAGTTTGTGTCATCACCTCTGCCTCCATCTCAGGCATCTCTGTTTTTCTGAGTAGGATCCCACTCTCGGCTCTTCTCCGTTGATGGTCCCAGAGGCCTCCGCTTCTATCCTGGAGAGTTAATCACTCCCTTCCTTGTTACAAAACTTCTACCTTTGCAATTCCTACCCTCATAGTCCGTCCTGATAAGCATTATTTACTACATTATCACGAGTTACCCATCTATATCTCCTTTCATCAGCTCCGCCCAGACAGATTGAATAGTACCTACTATAGTACTTAGTGCTAGGGAGATTCTGCCTTTCGTCATGCTCCCTAGCACTAGGTTCCCTCTTGAAAGCGTGTAAGCCAGTCACTTCTTGCCTTTGTAGTGCCCCCCTCCCCATTTGAGTATCCAATGTCCAAGCTGCCCTTCTCCATCGACTCTGTGTGTGGGGGGGTGTGTGAATGTTTGTTGCTGTGGGGATTTGTTCCTTCTTTTGAGTCTCTGCTCCATAGGCATAGGTCAAGTTTGCCTATTGATTCCTAAAACTTTTAAATTACTAAATTTGCAAGGTAGTCTTAATTCTTGGCGTGGTATATTTGGATAAGCACTGGATAACAAGGTTGGTTTGAACTGCAATATTGATGGTTCAAACTCACCAGCCACTTCTTGAAAACCCTATATAGGGTTGCTATGAGTCAGAATCAACTTGACAACACTTAACAACAGCAACTTTGTAAGACTCATTTAATATGAAAGTATTATGTTCCAAAATTTTCTTAACATTTTTTTTTCTTCATAGATCGCAAAAAGATGCCAAGATGACACAGTTTTTTGGACACAATTTTGAGGATGAGAGGTGGCGTAAAGCTGCTTTAAAAAATGCTTTTTCTTTACTAGGTAAACAGCGATTTGAACATTCTGCAGCATTTTTTCTTTTAGCTGGTTGCCTCAGAGATGCAGTTGAGGTAATGAATGAAAATTTTTTTCTCCAGTAGCATTGACATCCTCTACCTCTGGTTTAAACTTTAAAAAAAAAAAAAAAGAACTTTAACTTAATTCTATTGGAAATAATATAAAGCTAGATATCTAAAGGAATGCTGGTGTGGCACTATAGGGTAAGCACTGGAATGCCAACTGGAAAGTTGTTGGTTCAAACCCATCAGTGAATATGAGTGGGAAACAACTTGATGACACTTAACAACAACAAAATATTGAAAACTATCTGATCTTTAGTTGCAACTTTAAAAAATTTGTCTTTACCTTGAACTACCACTCATCTGTAGGTTTGCCCTAAAGTGGTAGCTTGCATGTTACTGTGATTCTTAAAGCTATGTCACTGGTATTTTAAATACCAGTAGAATCACCCATGGTGACCAGGTTTCAACCAAGCTTCTAGACTAAGACAGACGGGAAGAAGGAAACACAGACCACTACTGAATATTTAGTCACTGAAAAACTTAAGACTAGCAGTGGAACACTGTCAAGTAGCACCAGAATATCAAATACTGAAACATGATGAAGAAGACCAGAATATTGTCACTAGTGCCAGAAAATGAGCCCCTCAGGTTGGAAGGTACTCAAAATACAATGGGAGAAGGGCTGCCTCCTCAAAGTAGAGTTAATTATGATGATGCAAATGGAGTAAAGTCTTTGGGGCCACTATTTGCTGGTAGGGAACAACTCAAAATGAAAAGAAACTCCTGTAAACTCCCATTAATAATTAGAACATGGGATATATGAAGTATGAATCTAGGAAAATTGGTAGTTGTCAAAAATGAAATGGAATACATAAACATTGTTATCTTAAGTTATCTTAGGCATTATATTTACTATGTGAGGAATGACAGATTGAAAAGGAATGGCATCGCACACATCATCAAAAAGATCTATTTTGAAGTACAGTGCTGTCTGTGATAGGATATTTGTATGCCTACACGGAAGGAAAATACTATTATTTAAAGCACAAACCACTAAGCCAGTGATGATGAAACTTAAGAACTTGACCAATTTCTTTAGTCTGAAAATGAACAAAACATGCAGTCAAGATGTATTGATAATTTTTGGTGATTGAAATGCAAAGGTTGGAAACGAATAGGAAGGATCAGTAGTTGGAAAATATGGCTTTGGTGATAGAAACGATACTAGAATCACATGATAGAATTTTGGAAAGAATTTTACAAGACCTATGACTTCTTCATTGCAAAGACTCTTTAAATAACATAAAAGACGTATATCCATGTGGACCAAACCAAATGAAATACACAGAAATCAAATTGACTAGATCTGTGGAGAGACACAGTAGAAAAGCCCATCACCAGCCAAAACCAAGCCACGGGCAGACTGTGGAACCATCAATTGCTCATATACAAATTCATGCTGAAGAAAATTTAAACAAGTTCACAAGAGCCAAAATATCTTGAACATAGACCATCTGAATTTAGATATCATCTCAAGAACACATTTAATGAGTTAGACATTGAAGACCAAAGACCAGAAGAATTGTGGGATGACATCAAGTACATCATATAGAAAGAAAGCAGGAAAAGACTAAAATGGATGTCAGAAGAGACTCTGAAACTTCCTTTCCAGAATAGAGATACTAAAGCAAATGGAAGAAATGCAGAGATAAAGAGCTGAATAGAAAATTTCAAAAGTCAACTCAAGAAGACGAAGTCAATTATTATAATGAAATGTGCAAAGACCTGGAGTTTCAAAAGCAAAAGAGACAAACTTGCTCAACATTTCTTATGCTGAGGGAACTGAAGAAAAAATTCAAGCCTCGCTTGACAATATTGAAGGATTCTACTGGTAGTGTAGAGATTACGAATCAGGCTGCTAACCTCAGGGTCAGCAGTTCGAAACTATCAGCTGTTCCAATGGAGAAAGATGAGACTTTCTGCTACCATAAAGATTTACAGCCTCGGAAACCCTGTTTTGAGTCAGAACTGACTCCATGGTACATAACAAAAACAACATGGACAAATTATTGAATGATACAGAAAGCATCAAAAGAAGATGGAAGGAATATGCAGAGTCACAGTACCAAAAGGAAATGATCGATGATCAACCATCATAAGAGGTAGCATATAATAAAGAGCCAGTGATACCGAAGCAAGAAGTCAAGGTGCACTGAAAGCATTGGCAAAGAACAAGGCTCTGGGAAATGATGGAATATTGAAATCTTTCAACAAACTGATGCAGCACTGGAGACACTCATTCATCTATGGCAAGAAATTTGGAAGACAGCTCTCTGGCCAACTGAGTGGAAGATATCCATATTTATGCCTATTCCAAAGAGAGGTGACCTAATGTAATTCAGAAATTATTGGGAAGTATCATTAATATCTCATGCAAGTAAAATTTTGCTAAAGATAATTTTAAAACGTGTAACAGTACATTGGCAGGGAAATATCAGAAGTTCAGGCCAGATCCAATGTAGACATGGAAAAAGGAATATAATTGCTAATGTCAGATAGATCTTTACTAAGAGCAGAGAATACCAGAAAGATGTTTACCTATGCTTTATTGACTATGCAAAGACTTTCGATTGTGTGGATCCTAACAAACTGTGAACAATATTGCAGAGAATGAGTGTTCTGGAATACTTAATTGTGCTCATGAGGAACCTATACATAGATCAAGATGCATGCAGTTGTTGGACCCCAGAATAAGGGAACACCGAATGGTTTAAATTTAGGAAAGGTGTGCAACAGGGTTGTAATATTTTACCATACTTATTCAGTCTGTATGCTGAACAAATAATCCAAGAAGCTGGATTATAGGAAGAAAAAATGTGGCATCAGGATTAGAGGAGGACTCATTAGCAACCTGTGATATGCAGATGACCACCTTGCTTGCTGAGCGCAAAGAAGACTTAAAATACTTACTGATGAAGATCAAAGACAACAGTATGGGTTGTACCTCAATTTAAAGTAAACAAACTCCTCATCACTGGAGCAGTAAATAACATCCGTATAAATGAAAAAAAGATTGAAATTGTAAAAGACTTAATTTTTCTCGGAACAACCATCAACATGGAAGCAACAGTTAAGAAATCAAGTGATGCATTGCATAGGGCACGTCTGCTGCACAAGACCTCTTTGAATTGTTCTAGAGGAAAGAAGTCAGTTTGAGGATCCAAACCATGATATTTTCAGTAACCTCATATGCATGTGAACATTGGATAATGAATAAAGAAGACCATAGAAAAATTGATGCATATGAGTTATAATGTTGAAGGAGAATATTAAAAGTACTATGGACTGCCAAAAGAACAAATAAATTGGTGTTGGAAGAAGTATAGCCAGAATGCTCCTTTGAAGACAGGATAACCAGACTTTGTCTCTCATACTTTAGACATATTATCAGGAGCGACCAATCCCTAGAGAAGGACATCATGCTTGGTAAAGTGGAGAGTCAGCGAAAAAGGAAGACCCCCCAACCAGATGGATTACCACTGTGGCAACAGCAGTGGGGCTCAAGTGTAGCAACGATTGTTTGGTTGATACATGAACAGGCAGTGCTACATTCTGTTGTACTGTTTCATAAGGTCACTGTGACTTCATACTGACTCGACAGCACCTAACAACAGCAACAGTGAACTGGAATAAATAGTGTTTAAAGAGAGTTCAGATTAACTGCCTTGTCTTGTTTAGAGGCAATGGGTTGTTGGTCTCACTCTTCAGAATATTCACGAACAGGTTAAAAATAAAAAATTTCTCTTCTGAATTTAAGCACATTTGAACCTGTATCTGGCGCTGATCAAACTTAGAAGCATTTTAACTGATTATTTCATAGTAAATCTTTTTCTTTTCTTTCCCCTACCATATGATTTATTTGTAATTACTTATCCAGAAGTAGTTTGCAAATTTCACGTTATGTTTTGGTGAAGAAATCTTTGTTTAATGTGTAAAATATCTCTCCAACAGGAATAAAAAATTTTTTTTTTAAATTATGAGGTAGAAGTTTTGCAACAAGTAAGGGAGTGATTAATTCTCCAGGATAGGAGCAGAGGCCTCTGGGACCATCAACGGAGAGGAGCCAAGAGCGGGACCTTACCCAGAGAAACAGAGATGCCTGAGATAGAGACAGAGATGATGACGTGGAGGGATGAAGCGACTGGGGACTTTGGACCCAGAGAGGGAAAGGGACTGTGGGCCGATAACTGGGGGGAAGAGAGGGGGAAGTGTAGGGGGCGGGTTTCTGGGATATACCCTTTGGGTGGTTGATGATGCATGGAGGGGATTGGAACCATGGCAATGAGAAGATATACGATGGAATGAATGTAAAACTAAAGTTCTCCCATGTAAACCATCATATAATTCACAATAAAACATTTAAAGAAAAGCTAAAGTGGATAGAGAGAAATACTGTTAACTGATAGTACATGGAGGGGAGTATAATCATTGTAATGAAGCAGATACATGATTTATTGAATGTAAAATGATGATATGCCCTGTAAACTTTCACTCAATTCACAATAAAAAACCTTTAAAAAAAAAAATTATCAGTACATACATTTTTTTTGTGCATACATTTCTTTTTAAAGAGAGAGAACTCAACGAAATTCAGAAATTATCAAACAGTATTATTAATATCACATGCAAGTAAAATGTTGCTTAAGCTAAGCTTAAAATGATGGCAATAATACATCCACAGAGAAATGCCAAAAATTCAAGCTGGATTCAGAAGAGGACATGGAATCAGGGATAGCATTGTTGACATCAGGTAGATCTTGGTGGAAAGCACAGAATATCAGTAAGATGTTTACTTGTGCTTTATTGACTAGGCAAAGTCTTCTGACTCTTTGAATCATGACAAGCTATGAATAACATTGCACAGAATGGGTAGTACAGACATTTAATTGTGTTTTTGAAGAATCTATAAATAGAACAAGAAGCAGTTGTTAGAACAAGGGGATACTGAATGGTTTAAAATCAAGAAAGGTGTGTGCCAGAGTTGTATCCATTCACCATACTTATTCAGTCTGTCTACTGTGCAAATAATCTGAGAAGCTGAATTATATGAAGTAGAATGTGGCATCAGGTTTGGAGGAAGACTCATTAACAACCTGCAATATGCAGATGATACAACTTTGCTTGTTGGAAACAGATAAGGCTTAAAATACTTCCTATAGCCTTCAGTTTGGATTGTGCTGCAGTGTAATGAAAGCCAAAGTCCTCACCACTGGATCTTGCTAAATGGAGAAAAGATTGAAGTTGTGAAAGGTTTCATTTTGCTTGAACACACAATCAACACTCATGGAAGACAGCAGTCAAGAAATTATACAGGTTGCATTAGAAATCAAATGATGGATTGCTTCAAAAGACCTTTTTAAATATTCAAGAGTAAAGATGTCTGTTTCAGGACTGAAGTGTGCCTGACCCAAACCATGGTATTTTCAGTTACCTTCCTTACGTAGCACTGGTGGAATAAGGCACTGGATTGCAAAGTCAGCTTGAATCGCAAGACTGGTAACTCAAGCTCACCATCGCTTTATCTGAAACCCTGTACAGGGTAACTGGGAGTCAGAACTGACTCAACAGCACTTAACAACAAGAACAAGTATATGTATGTGAAAGTTGGACAATGAATAAGGCAGACCATAGAAGAATTGATGCATTTGAATAATGGTGTTGGTTTAGAATATTGCCAGTACCATGGACTGCCGGAGAACAAACAAATTTGTCTGGGAAGATGTACAGCCAGAATGCTCCTTAAAAGCAAAGATAGTGAGATTTTGAACATGTTATCAGAAAGGGCCACTCCCTGGAGAAAGACATTGTGCTCAGTAAAATGAAGGGTCATAGAAAAAGAGGAAACTTACAATGAGATAGGTTGACACAGTGGCAAAAACAGTGGGCTCAGGTATAGTAACAATTGTGAGGATGGCACAGAACTGGATAGTGTTTCATTCTGTTATTACTATGAGTCGGAACTGACTCCAAAGCACCTAACAATGTCATAAATTATCCGTGTGTTCAGTTTCATACAAGTGATTCAAAAACAAGTTTTTAATTTGTTGTGATGGTTTCTAGTGGATAGGAATGTAGAATTTCAAGAGTAAAAGAAAATACGTAGCTTGAATTGATATCTCTACGAATGCTTAACTTTATTAGACTAACTTTTTGAAACTGTATACTTAGTATTAGCAGATAGATTTATTTATAAGTATTAACATAAATGTAATCGATCCAAAACAAAACAGTCCCTTGCTTTTTTATAAATATTTCTTTTTGTTTTAGGTCTGTCTTGAGAAACTGAATGACATTCAGTTGGCGCTTGTAATTGCAAGACTCTATGAGTCTGAATTTGATACTGCTTCAACATACAAATCTATATTACGTAAAAAAGTTTTGGGAATTGGTTCTCCTGTCCATGAACTCAATTCGTTGAATGTAAATACGCATTGTGATCCTTTCCTTCGGAGTATGGCTTATTGGATTTTGGAAGATTATAGTAGTGCTCTGGAAACATTAATAAGGCAACCTGTCAGAGAGGATCATGGTAAGCTGCATTTCAAAGATGTTAATGTTTAAGCGTTATGAATATTTTCTGGATACAGAACACTGATAATGCTGAGGCTAATACAGAACATGATGAATACACAATACAAAACTTTATGGATTAGTTGACACAGGTGTATGTATATAGTTTTGGGGGTTTTTTTTAATCAAAGAGATTATTCTTTTTAAACCAAATATTTTGACTTGTCTGTTTTTATGAAATTTGTTCACAAATATTATCAACCCTAGAATATAATTTTTTTTTTTCAAAAATACTGATATAAATCTGTTGTTTATCTTTGGTGGGAATTAGTATTTTGTTTCTTTTTTTTTTTTTAATTGTGAACTGAGTGATAGTTTACTTTCATCTGCTTTACATTATTTCATTGCAATGATTACAGTCTCCTCCATACATCATCATTCAACAGTATTTGCTTCCATTCCCTTTGTTTTTCTTTTTTTTTTTTTTGTGGGGTTGGAGAGATATACACAAAAACACTCAGGAATATATAATAATTTAAACAACCAAAGGGTAGATTCTGCAAGCCTGCCTCTTGGCCGCCAGCACTCAATCCCTCTCTTTTCACGAATCAGTGTAAAGAAAGCTATGTAAGTTATATGATTTGAAAAATCTTAAGCTACATATCCCTTGACATTCTATTGTCCATTAAAAAAGTGTAGTTTAGAGGTATTATTTTTATTAATTTTAATTTTTAGTGAAAATATAATGCATCATACATCCACTCATCAATTTCTACACGTTCAATTTAATAATATTGGTTATATACATCATTCTTGTTAACTCTGTCCTTATTGTTTCACCATCATTGACTTGGACAATCCCTCCCTGGTTTCTCATCTATTGTTGTTGTTGTGAAGTGCCATTGAGTCGATTCCGACCCATAGCGAACCCTGTATAGGGTTTCCAAGGAGCAACTGGTGAGCTTGAACCACTGACCTTGCAGTTCAAATGACTTTGCGCCATACCGGGACTTTAGGGTTATTGTTGATAGCTTGACCTCATGCAGATAATTCTGTAAAAGAGTGCTGTGTTTATGACAAATTTTTTTTTTAGTAACTTAGTTGAACAGATGTTTAGTTTTTAATCACTGGAGGGGATAATTCCAGTTCATGGTTCAAAGATTATCTAAGATAGATATCGGGGTTCTTTTACACTCAATAGGTTCAGTAAGTCTTGATTCTATAAGAATCTGAAATTCTGTTCCTCATTTCCCACCCCCCAACCCCTTTTAGTCAATATTCATCTATTGGTTATTGATTAAAATATTCATTAGTGGTAGTGGGCACCATCCAGTTTTTCTGATCTCATTGGCTAAGGAGGGAGTAGTTCATGGAAGCAGTTCCTGTAATCCCATTTCTCCATCAATTCCTCCTTGGTTTCCTTCTAGAGGGTATTATTATAATGTACCCTTTTCAACTCAACTTTTGCCTTTTAGAAATCTTAGCTAAAACTTTCCTAGAGGCTAATATAAGATAAATTTGAAACTACCAGCTGTTCCGCGAGAGAAAGATAAGGCTTTCTGCTCCGGTAAAGATTTACAGCCTCGGAAACCCTGTACAAGGTCACTATGAGTCGGAACCGACTTTATGGCACATAACAACAACAACAAGTAAAAGATGAAGCCTTGTAAAAATGATGGGATTTGCTTTTCAACTGCATTTCCATAAACTGAATTGTGTCTGGTAGTTGGTGCAGTAGATATCATATGACTTGGAGTACTAATTGGAAAAAAAATCATAGTTACTAGCTTTTCACATGGTATAATCTATACAGGAAGTATCATGTGCCAAACAAACCTTCATAACATATAAGAAAGCCAAGTGATTCTGTTCAAGTATAACCATCTTCAGCTGAAAATTTCTAAATTGACTTCTGTATAGTGAAAGGAGAGAATAAAAGGCCTTTTGTAACCATTTTCTTATACCCACACATATGCTTGCCAACAATGTATGGATTAATATGTGATCATTTACTTTTAAAACCAATGAAAACTATTTTCTTCTAGAAGAAAACTGCAAAGATAATGGTGGCATGGACCCGGATGATAGGAATGGAGGCAGAGAAAAGTGGTTGGGCTTGGGATTCAATGTTAAAAGTTGACTAGACAGGATGTGTGATTGACTATGGAATATTAAGAAAAGGGAAGTCAAGAAGAACTCCTGGGTTTTTAGCCTGAGCACCAGGTAAGTGAGATGGGGAAAACCCAGGTAGCAGCAGATTTAGGGGTGCTGTTTTTCATAAGGCGTCCTGGGTGTGGTGCTGTAGGATAAGCACTCGACCGCAAGGTTGGTTTGAACTGCAAGGTTGGCAATTTAAACTCACCAGAGCTCCTTGGAAACCCTATACAGGGTCCCTATGAGTCAGAACCGACTTGACCGCATTTAAAAAACAAAACAAAAAAGTTTTACATAAGGAAGAATTCTAACAAAGGAGACCTTTGAACCAGAGCCTAACTGAAGTAAGTGAGTAATCGTTGTAGATAATCTGGAGGTTTACACCAAAGAAACACAAATTGAAAAAACTCTACACCTAAGTGGAAATCTAATGCAGGGTTTTGAATATAAGAGTCTAGAATTTAAAGGGTAAAGCTGGAACTGGAGATAGAAGTTTGCAAATTATCAGGAAATTGATGGTGTTTAAAGCCATGGAACCACATAAGTTTACCTGTAGAGTATAGGTGGAAAAGAGGTCAAGAACTGAACCCTAGGACACTCAGCATTCAGAGGTAGGGAAGTTGAGGAGGATCTAGCAAAGCTGACTGAGGAAGATCCAGAGAAGAAGGATAAGATGAACTAAGAGTGGTAAGTGTTCGTGTTGTTAAGTCCTGTCTAGTGAGTGGGTCCCAACTCATAGTGAGCCTGTATAATGTTTCCGAGGCTTTAAATCTTCTCCCATGGAGCACATTTTCTCTCATGAAGTGGCTGGCAAACTCTAAATGCAGACTTTGTGGTTTACAGTTCAGTGCTTATCATATGGTGCTAGTGCGTTCCCAAGAGTGTTAAGTAGATGTGTTAAATTATGTTTGAATATTACCCAAGGAGGTAGGTTTAGATGGGAAAGCAGCTAAGTCTTTGTTTTCCTACTATTAGGAAATTTCATTATCAATGCCATAGATAAATGTGGCCTATTAATAAAATTTTATCAAAAGACCAGGTATATAAATATGCCATAGTTGAGGCAATACAAAATAAAACATTATAGTACTAGTATTAACGTCCAACTTGGCTCTTGAAGAATTTTTTTTGGCTCACGAAATGAATTTACTTCCAGGTCAAGCCATGATGTCAGCCTGTAATCCTGCAGTTTTTAATTTCTACAATTATCTAAGGACACATCCTCTTTTGCTGAGACGTCATTTTGGATCTTCTGATGCATTTTCCACACATTTAAGTTTAACAGGAAAAAGTGGATTGTCAGGAACAATTAATTTAAGTGAAAGACGGTTGTTTTTTACTACTGCCAGTGCTCATTTAAAAGCTGGTTGTCCCATGTTGGCTTTGGAAGTATTATCAAAGATGCCTAAAGTCATAAAAAAGACAAAACTTTTTGGTAGAACATCTAGTTTTCTGGATACTAGTAAGGACTGTTCTCCTTCTTCTCCATTAAAATTGGACTTAAGAGAAGACAAGTCTGGTATTGATTGGTCACAGTCACTAATGAATGGTTTTGGATCTTCTCCAGAAGGTTCTTCAGAGAAACAATCAAACTCAACTCTCTCTTTTGACTGGAGTCAACCAAGTGTTGTATTTCAGGATGACTCTTTAGAGTTAAAATGGGATAGTGATAATGATGAAGAAAATGAGGACCTTCCTATTTCAATGAAAGAACTAAAACCTTCACAGAAAAGAATAGGTAAAAAAATAGATGAAACAAGTTCTGATTACACAGAATCTTTCAGCACACTAGATGAAAGTGACATTTTAAGTCCTTCAGAAGATATCATTGCAGTTCAGTTAAAATTTAGAGCATGTTTAAAGATTCTCACAGTAGAACTTCGTACTTTATCCACTGGGTATGAAATAGATGGTGGAAAATTACGTTACCAATTGTACCACTGGCTTGAAAAGGAAGTGATAGCTCTTCAGAGAACTTGTGATTATTGTTCAGATGTTGAAGAATTGCAGTCTGCATATGACGAAAGTGGAGATGAATTTAGGTTAAATGAAAATGCTGAAGATTTGCTTCCCCAAACTAAAGTGAAACAACTGAGAGAAAGTTTTCAGGATAGAAGAAAATGGCTTTTGAAATATCAGTCACTCTTGAGGATGTTTCTTAGTTACTGCATACTACATGGATCCCATGGTGGGGGTCTTGCATCTGTGAGAATGGAATTGATTTTGCTTTTACAAGAATCTCAGCAGGTATGTAACATATATGATAGTCAAAGTAGTAAGATTTGTGAAATTTTTTTATATTACTATTTTTCTTTTTAAAAATTAAAATTCTTGGGGTTTTTTTTTTATTATTAATATTGATTTAAGGAATATTTCCTTTTGTATGGCTGCTTTTTACAAATTCCCTATCAGGCCCTTTGATCTGCAGTGTTCATACTTTACAGTCTTATATAAATTACTACAAGACCAAAACCAAAGACACTGCCATCTAGTTGTTTCCAACTCATAGTGACCCTGTATAGGGTTTCCAAAGCTATGAATCTTTATGGGAGCAGAACGCCTCAACTTTCTTCTGTGGGATGACTGGTGGGTTTGAACTGATGACCTTCCAGTTAGCAATCCAGTACTTATCCTAAAGCATCAACAGGGCTCCTTTTTTTTTACAAGAGAGATTACTGGAGTTTTATGATGGAGTTAACCATCACACGCCTCTTCTAACTCTACAGATTTATATTATACATTCAGATTTTAATTTTTTTGTACTGTTTTCAAAGAGACTGTTGAATTATTTGTGTAATGTATTATAACCATGGATAGTAAGTTCTTTTTTCTTTTGTTTTTAAGGAAACATCAGAACCAATTTTACCTAACCCTCTATCAGAGCAAACCTCAGTACCTCTCCTCTTTGCTTGTACAGCCAGTGCCAAAACAGTAGTTGCCAATCCATTATTGCACCTGAGTAATCTAACACATGACATTTTACATGCCATAGTAAACTTTGATTCACCACCGCATCCTGATATCCAAAACAATAATGTAAGTATGCTTGTTTCAAGCTTTTAATTTACCAATATATAATGATAAAACTAAAAATTTATTATAAATTTAAATATCATACTATAAATAGTGATGTTGTATTACCAAGTTTACATTAATTTTAACCAAAGAAAATTTCTATTTGTAAAAAAGGCTTATCTTGTGTTACTTGTAACCAATAGAGTAATTTTTAGTCATTTAAAATACAACTCAGGAAGAGCTGCCTCCTCAAAGTAAAGTTGACCATGATGACATGAATGGAGTATAGCTTTCTGGACCTTCATTTGATGTTGGGGCACAACTGAAAATGAGGACAAACAGCTATAGACATCCATTAATAATCAAAGAATGTATGAAGTATAAACCACTAAAGCCAGTGATGATGAAATTAAAGAATTCTACCAGATTCTTCAGTTTGAAATTAATCAAATGTGCAATCAAGGTATATTGATATTTACTGGTGATTGGAGTGAAAAGGTTGGAAACAAAGAGGAAGGCTCATTAGTTGGAAAATATGGCCTAGGTGATAGAAATAATGGACGATGGAGATCACTTAACAGAATTCTGCATGACCATTGACTTATTTATTACAAATACCTTTTTTAAACAACATAAAAGATAGCTATATATATGGACCTCACTAGGTGGAATAAACAGAAATCAAATTTACTACATCTGTAGGAAGCTTCTGTTGATGGTAGGTGCTATCAAGTTGGTTCCAACTCATAGTGGCAACCCTGCATACAAGAGCAAAACGCTGCCTGGTCCTGTGTGAACCTCACAATCGTTGTTATGCCTGAGCCAATTGCTACTGCCAATCCATCTCACTGGGGGAACTAACTCCTTTTTTGTTAACCCTCTACTTTACCAAGCATGATGTCCCTCTGCAAAGACTGGTTTTCCTGATATTATCTGAAGTACTCCTGGTATGGCGCTGTGGGTTAATGTCTGGAATGCAGTGTTGGTTTGAACCACAAGATCAGCAGTTCAAGCTCACCGTTCAAGCTCACCAGCCGCTCCTTGGAAACCCTATACAGGGTCACTATGGGTCAGAACTGACTCTGTGGCACTTAACAACAACACTAAAATGTGAAGTCTCACCATTATAACTTCTAAGGAGCATAGTGGCTTTTTCCAACACAGATTTATTTGTTCCTCGGGCAGTGCATCGTACTTTTAATAGTCTTCTCCAACACCATAACTAAAATGTACCAGTCCTTCTATGGTCTTCCTTATTCATTGTCCAACTTTCACATTATATGAGATTACTGAAAATACCCTGGCTTGGTTCAGGCACAACTTAGTCCTCAAACTTACATGTTTGCTCTTGATCACTTTAAAGGGGTCTTGTGCAGCAGATTTGCATAATTCAGTACATCATTTGATTTCTTTTTAAGTTTTTTATTGTGAATTGAGTGATACTTACATGGGAGAACATTGATTTTATATTCCTCCTATCATATTTCATTTCATTGCAATAATTACAGTCCCCTCCATGCATCATCATACAACAGTATTTGCTTCTATTCCTTCTGTTTTTTTGTTGGTTTGTTTTTATTAATGTACACAAAAACACTCAGGAATATATTATAATCATTTTAACAACCAAAGGGCACATTCTGAACACCTGCTTCCTGGCCACCAGCATACAGCCTTTCTGTTTCCATGATTCGAGTCCTTAGCTGCTGAGTCCTCATCTCCAAGCCCTCATCTCTGCTTCCATGTCTGATGTTGTTACTTCTCTGAATGTTGCTGTTAGGTGCCATCGAGTCGGTACCGATTCAGTGCCCCTGTGCACAACAGAACGAAACAATGCCCGTCCTGGGCCAACCTCACTATTGTTGCACGTCAAAAGCCATTGAGGCTGCCACTTTGCCAATCCATCTCACTGGGGGTCTTCCTCTTTTTCTCTGACCCTCCACATTACCATACATTATATCTTTCTCCAGTGACTGGTCCCTCCTGACAGTATGTCCAAAGTGTGAGAAACGAAGTTTGGCCATCCTGGCTTCCAAGAAGTACTCTGGTTGCACATCTTCCAACACAGATCTGTTGGTTCTTTTGGCAGCCCATGGCACTTTCAGTATTCTCCTCCAACATCAAACTCAAAAGCATCAACTGTCTAGGGATATTAGTCTCGCTCATATGATCCAAGAGTAAATAGACAAAGGTTCACAAAACAGACTAAATGCTTTAGAGAAAGGAAGATCGCTTAAGGGAAATAAGACCCAATATATCCAGACTACACACCCAGCCAAGGTTACTCATGGTATAAGTAGATTTGTGTTATCTTTCAGTAACCCAGAAATTGATTGGAACTTAATCCAACAGCATTTTAGGAGG